AAGCAAATGGACCATTTTAAACCAGCAATGAATCATACAAGGCCATATAATGTAAAAAGAAACAAACTAATTCTTACACAAAACAATCATTATTAACTATATAGTACGACTGACTTGTATCTATAATCGACTTTCTCGGAGTGAACTGTCAGACAATACGTGCTCAGCTAAATATTAATTGCGTGCATTGTAGCAGACGAAGTACATACTCAAATATAATTATATACAATGATTGGTACACTTTTTATATTATTATTATTATTGATTAGTGAAAAAGGTGAAATCGAAATGCAAAGTAATTAGAATCATACCACTGGATGACGTTTTTGAATAAAATTGATAGATTAAATGCATAATACACAACAATTAAGTACATTAAAAGAAACGTGATTATATCGTGATTGAACGTGATTATAGTAATATCCGCAATCAGTCTCTAAAATCCTCAATTGTTATATTAAATTTAAAAACGTTTTATATTAAATAAAAATTCACATTTTGAACACATACGTTGGTTACTTATATGCGGATTCAAAAATCATATTTTTATATATGTACGTGAAAAAAAAAAGTTTACTAAGTCGCGAATAATACCGGACACAATGCATGCACAATGTAATAAATTATAAAATTCCACAACGATCAGTAATGTTTAAAGTTATTTTACAATCATGAATAATATTTCATTGACGTTATTGAGATGCTTATATCACTTCATTTTATTGGACTCGTTTTCAGTTCATCACAATATTGTTGATATTAGCTGTCAGTAAGTCAGCACATCTTTGTGAACTGACTCAGAAAAACGGGCAACTAAAAATGATTTACTCTTAGGCTTTTTTCATGAAAAGACGGATCTCACACCTTCTCGATTAGCTGGAATGTTTCTTACAGACACCAAAAAAGAAGACAGGGGGAGTAACTTTTGTGTTTTTACAATTCCACCGATTTCACGGCAGGGGAGTAATCGATTTAATATATGTTACACTTGCTTTCGCTGTTTTTTTTTTCGTATAAATTGACGTTGTCACAATAACACCCGTCTTTACAACGATACCTTTTACTTTGAACAAAAGCCCAGTAGTATCTGAGGCAAATGATGTCATTTTGTAAACACTTAAGGAAGATGTAACTTGTCAAAACTATCAAATTTTAAGTAGATATAGTTTTGTTTTCCTTGAAAGAAAATTGGTATGAGTTTTTACATTAAATAATATTCACATTTACAAACAGCTTTCGCATTAGGAAAATTTCCTGAGTCGCGAGGGGGACTTTACAAGCAGACATGAAACGGACACAAAGAACACCCAGACTCAGAACAACAATTTGTGGATCACACAAAGTGTCGTCCCATGTCGTCCCACTCAGCGTAGTAGTAAGCGGCGTGGCGACCGCTTAAACCACTGCGCCATCCGTACAGTGTCAGTTCTAAGACCTAAGCCCAGGACGACTAACTATATTTTGTCAGAAAATAAGAAAAAATCATGCATCGGCATAAACCCTTCTTACTGATGCAAAGCTACTAGACAAACTAAAAGTTTAAAATGAAACGGAAAGAACTGGCTAACTACGGAACTCCTCTGACATACTTTGGCGAAGCACGTGATCATGAATGATGTGCCTATTTGACTTCTAACTAAAGGTACCGTTGACAAGTACTGTTGGAAGCCGTTAGGTAACGCAGATTAGAATGATTCCTAAAGACAAGATTTGATGTTGGTACACCTGTGACACATGTTATGATTGCATATCCTAAAAAAACAGAAAAATCTCCAAGGATTACATATTTGCTTAAATAAAAGTGAGTAAAATGAGTAACTACATCAACTGAATAAATAATAGAACTTTCTCTGAACACAATTACAGGAAAGAAATCAAAGATTAGGCAATGCTGGTGCGGTATTTATTTACAAGTAGACAGTAACATTCTTGTCTTTATCTTGAAAAGGATAAAGCTATCTCTAAGAAAGTTGGATACGTGATACGCATGTAATAATTGAATCTAACTTAATATCTAATTTGGAAGCAATTTTCAAAACAGTCGACGTGACCAAATAAATTGAGACAGAGACGGACAGAATTCGAATCGAAGTGAAAGATATAATTTTGAATACAATAGGACCTGTTATAACATCGTATACGTGATTCATGTTATAATTGAAATGATGTCTGTGCATTTCGAGGTAATGTGATTACGATACGAATTCGGTTATGTTAATTATATATTTTTTTTTAATAAGCTTATAAAAAGGCCGAAAGATCGTAAGTTGTAACCAGTTACTCATCACTCGCAACATATTTTTACATAAGTACTAACTTGAATAATTAAATAACAAACGCGTACGACTGTAAATAAAAACATGGCAATTATAAAATATTTGAATGGACTGTGAAACGGAATTAAATGAGCGTTCTACATACACGTGCTAAGAAAAAAAATAGATAATGATTGAAATACGACGTATGTACATAAAGTAGTAATTGCTTACCAACAATAATAACTTAGGTGAGATTTAGAGAATGTTTATTTTTTAAACTACTGCTACGAGTATATTGTCATGCATTGACATACATATAAGTTTTTCATTAAAAACATGCTGTTCAAAGTTGCGTAACAATCATACACTGCGATAAACACTTAATTTTCATTGATTTTTCGAGAAAATACTATCGACAATGAATTACCTTTCGAGAAGGTTCTTAGCGCGAGTATATGCAAGTTAATATAGGAAGTGTTAATGACTCATCGTTGGCGGGCCATTAAAAGGTCATAAGGTCAAAGCTCGATTGCTTAATATAATTGTTGATTGACTGACGAAATACAGGCTAGGTGGAGTGACGATTTGCGCAAGATGGCTGGCAGGGGCTGGATGCGAGAAGCCCAAAAATCGATCTAAGTGGCGTGCAATGGGAGAGGCCTATGTCCAGCAGTAGACTGCGATAGGCTGATGATGATAACGAAATATGCTCCTTTGGAAATAAATCGGACCTGCCAATGGGATTTGGGATGCAGACTGAGACTGTAAGCAAACTGCTAATAAGATGTGTCACCATTACTTTTAATGGATCAGACGTTAGAAAATTCATTTGAGAGTAATACAACTGATGTAGATTTCGTAATGTTTTTTGAGACATGATGTGTTTCCATGATTTTTCCTGTTTAACTAAAGGAAAGTCCACATTGGGTATACACGTAATATTAGCTGTTATATTGTGACGATAGAAAGTTACAATCGAAAGTGTAGACTTGTTATTTGCGACGCATCACGTACCAGCCAAGGAAGCCTAAGAATTCACAAGTTGGAAAGCTGATACTCGAATAGCTTTGAAGTGTAGATGTTACGTTAGGTGAAAGATAGCCCGAGGTTGGCATCAGAATGCAAAATTATTCCAGGCGGTGTTAGATATTAAAAGTTTAGTCACTAAGTATCAATTCGAACGCAGGTCTTTCAAAAATACGTTTATAAAGAGCTTTTTGCGAGACAAAGTTTATTATATAAAATAAAAGTTTTTATTAGGTATTGTCTAGTGGAAGAAACGTCGTAGTTCTATAGTTGGTGGTTGAGATTCGCAAAACTTTTCTTTCCCAATTAGTATTCCTGGCCATATTGCCGTGCAGGTATTTCCTTTTGTGAATTATAAGAGATATATCGATTAATTTGCTTCTAACACTCATTTTACAGTTGCGAAAAAATGTAATTTAGAGGAATATAGAAATTGTTTGTTTACGCGCTACAACCTTACGTCCATTCATGATTTTCTTACAACGTTGGATAATCGAAATTTAGGCATTGCGGAATGTATATACATATTCGCTTAAAATATCTATTAAGTAATTATGAAGCTTTCGCTGTTTTTTGGGGTTGCCTTGAAATACATAACTGACGAGTTTGACATCGGAAATTTGCTTCACCCATCGATTAAAGTCCCCCGTCGGACGACCATACTCAGGACTAGTCAGGCAACTCTAATACACACATGAATAAAACCTATAGGTCCCATAGTATATTTTAATACATGAAAACTATTTAGGTTTTTTTTTATGCGCAGATAAATCACATGATAATTTAATGCTTACTCATGCAAATTACATAAACTTGTGTAAAGACAATAAAACAACTACTCTCTAAAAGCCTTATAAAAATTCAAAAACAGGTATAGATAGCACTTTATGAGATAGTTATCTATGAAATAGCTTCAAACTACATAAAATAATGAATCACAACATGTACTTGGTGAAAGTGAAAGTATATAAATGGGACTTAATTACCTTTGTACACAAAAAGAAGAAATAAAAAGGTATATAAATTAACCTTTACGCCCACATGGTGCATTCTCTACTGTCCCCAAATCTGTCATTATGTAACTGAAGAGCATTACGTTGGCAATATATTTTCAATAGAACGTGTTTGCTCTTCATTAAGAATTATGCAACCGACTTAGATATATCAAATCAGGGATTCATGTTAATTAAACTTACTACGACGAAGAATGTCGAAGAATTACATAATATGTATTGACACCCTAAAAAAACTGTTGTGTCACTTTCGAGGTAAATATTTTATTGAGAACGTAACTCGGCTCTGTTACTACACAAATTAAGTTATTAATATTGATGCCAAATAGAGAAACACAGCAAATTAACATATTATAGTTGAATTTAAATGTGTCGATGACAATTTATGGGTTATTAAATATGAAAGTTTTAGATACTTTAATAGTCATTTAAATTCGATTCTTTGTAATGTTGTATGATTCATTAATGAGAAAATACTATATTAACGACATCCAACTCTAAAAATTGAACTCAACATAATAAATCGCTGTATTCACAGTTTTAAAATGTGTGTATTTCCTGAATATAGTAAGTATAGTAAGTGGATGATATGGTTAAGAGGTCTTCGACAGTTTGAAGTAAATAGTGATGTTACGATTAAATGCGGACAGCTTTCCAGTCAACATGTCTTTAAACTAGTTTCCTAGAGGCAATATAAATCGATCTAAATCATTGTATGTAACCAGTGGGAGAGTGCAGATAAACGGCACCTGTAATTTGTTGTTATCGATATGTTAATAGTGTCGCGTACCTGCTCGTCCACTTTCGGAACGTCGATGGCGCGGGTACCGCTAGCGACCTCGTTGACTCGCCCGCTCCGACGTGCGGGCCGCACGGGACACACACTCTTCGCATTCTCTGATAATTCTATACTCAATTTCTTGGGATTATCGAACACTTTAAAGTCTACTTCGTCAACACTGTTACGTCCTGGGCTTAAGTCGTGCACGTTATCGAAAGCCTGATCGTTATCGTGAACAGCGTCGTTGGAAACATGACCCGAGTCATCGCTGCAGTCCGAGTGGGTATCGGATATTTTCTCATCCGTTTGTTTGTCTAGAGCGAGTTTCTCGGCCTGGGAGCACGTTTTGGAGTCGTTGTGCGACTCAATATATTTAACTTGTCGGCCGACGAGTGTGCTCAAGTAGTTGTGGAAAGTGGTGTTCGCTACACATAACTCTTTGTGAACAGGTGGGATTACTCTACAGCTTACAAATTGAGACGCTTCAGTTTTCATTTCTTTCGCGGTTTTTAATTCCAACTTTTTCACTATAGATTTTACAGGCGATAAAACGATATCAATGTTTTCCGGCTCATTGTTATTTCGTTTAGACTCCGAAGTCACTACTACATCTCTTTTATTTACGATTCTGTGCTGCAATTTGGCTCTCACAGCGTTTATTTCATCTGAGTAGTCTTTTAAGTTCGATTTCGATGACAGCAAGGTCTTTTTGCCGTCAATAGCTTCGTTTTTTTTCTTATCAGTTTGTCGTTTTGACTCTGATTTAAGATTGAGTTGAGACTTTTGTCTTATTTGTTTATTTTCCATTTTTTCGTTGTTTTTACGTGGCGCTAGCAATTTCTTTTTCTGAGCACACTCTCTGGCCTGGTCTACATTACTTAGATCAACTGGAGTGGGAGAAAAGAGCGCCCTGGTACTGCTGAACTTGTTGTGCGACATTTGACTTCTTATCACCGGGATCTTACTGGGAGAGCCCGCAATAGAAGTTGTAGATTTAGTTCTTTCTAAGCCGGGTGTAATTAAATATTCATTACCTATTTCCCACACGCTTTTTGCTTTCTGCATTTGTGATTTTGGGTTCTCTTTACTATTTAAACTGATCTTTATATTTAACAATCCGTTATCCGTACATGTTTTAGGCTTGAGTTTCTTTGGCTCGATACCTTTTTTTTCGACTTTTTTCGTTACTGGCTTGGTTTTGGACACAACCGGAACGGGTGTTGACGGTGGATTAGACATCGTTTTCTTCAGTATTCTTGTTTTGACGTCAAGTTTTTTTAGCTCTTCGGCTTTGATGCAATTTGGTCGGGCTGTGTTCTTTGATGAAATTTTATACGTAGCATATCTGTCAGGATTCATCTTGTCGTTGGGTATGGCGGTCAGTGGAACCAATGGTGCTGTAAGCTCTTTCTCCTTCATATCGGCCAGATTCCACAGACTCGTTGTTTTGTCAATAGAATTGTTGCGCGCTACTTTGCTTCTTGTTTTACTATCATCAGGATCCGAATTGCTCTTCTTTAAAATACAGCGCGATTCAATTATACTGCAAGTTTTTGATTTTTGTAATTTCGGTGGAATAAAACTGTTTTTATTACATTTGTTGTCTAGAGTGAGAGATGTACCTGAGGTAAATTCTGACAATATTTTATCAAATGATTCCAAAGCTTTGCTCAATTTAGATTCACCACACACATCATTTACTGTTTTAACTATAACCACATTTTCGTAAATGGAAGAATATCCTTTAGTCTCATCGAGTAATTTATCTTGTTGCACCGCATTGCTATCACCAGTAATGTTTATATTTTCATACACATGACACGGCGTCGAAGAAACAGTCTTGGTATTCACTTCAGAGTTACTGACGTTGACTTTAGAAATAAACTTTTGCACGTTATCACTATTATTTTTCACAGGATCAATAATTTTCCGTTCGAGACAGGCTGCGATCGCGGTCACTTTACTACCCTTATGCTCGGGCGAGGGTTCTGAGCCGACTGAAAAAGTCCTGTAGAACTTCTGCAGAGCTCCTTGAGCGGGGGGTGTCACAGGTGTATGCTTCTCGGTCGGCTTCTGTCCGCCGAATATGTTGAATACTTTCACTGCGGGCATATCGCGGGCCCGGCGCGCGGGCGTTCGCGTAGCGTGGATGCGCGCGCGCGTCACGACGAGCGGCGTGCATGTGCCGCTGTGTCGCGCCATGCCGCGCCGCTATCACACGCACACAATAAAGAAAGTCAATGTCACTTCAATCATCCAGCGACGTGACAAATTCTCACCAAGTTATCGACAATACTTACTTATCGATCGTTAAGTATAATGTAAGCATTTCTACAATGAATTTACAATAGATTAGCATTGCAAGTAATTTGCAAGATGCACTAACTAGCTGTATAAATTACTTATGATATTTAATCAAAGACGGCTTTCCGTTAACTTGCTGTTCAGTAAGCCATCGGCGCCTGATTCAATAAGAACAACTTTTTTATGTTATACAAGAAAACGTATTTTTGTACGAAACTAGTTATATAAAATCAATAAATCTCAATAGAAAGTAGGAATGAGGTTGTTAGGACAGTGATGTAATTGACCCACTTGTTTGATGTTAACTTGGAATAAGGTTGGAACAACATTCTAAAAGTTACTGAGAAATGGAACAAGATAACCTGATTAAAAGAAACACGGTTATCCTGTAATTAAACGCAACAGATGTGGATAACGCTAAGTTTTATGTAACTGTCTAATTCAGGACAATGTTCTGGATAACGTATTGCTATTTTTAATATCGTCCGTAATTAATGGAACATGTAATCTCATACAGAGGTTGTGAAAACATTGAACTCAACTTTAATCTGTAGGTACTTTATTTTTGGCAGCCTTGCTGCCAATGATAAAAATAAAAAAAATATCACGATTATATCTAAATATATAAAATATTAAGTGATAAAACTCCCATTTTTTTTTTGGGAAAATCTTGTCAAAAAAAATTATTTGCTAAAAATTTAAGTGTTTGTGCGTGTAGTTGCCAAAATATTTCTTTCTTTAAGTTGGTGTGGGTACCTCAAAAAGTTCTGCACCGATTGAGCTCAAATTTGGACATCACTTTGGACACCGCTTTAAATATGGTTTTTATCTATTTTTCGCGTCAGTTTTGTTCCTTATTGTTCATCAATGCAACCATTGTGCCTATAACCATATGCCAAGCGTGGCAGGGTGCAGCTAGTATTTTATATTTTACATTTTTTTTTTATAATGAGATGGAGAGAAGAAAACTAGGAGTTTAGATGTACTAAATGGTGATGTACTAAAAATAGGTACAATAACAAAACGCGAAATTCAATTTTAGTTTTTTTGAACATAATTTTTTTTTCCTTTTCTTTTTTAAAACAATTCTCACAAGCACAAGTGATTGGTGTACTCTAAAACAATTTTAGAATAAAACTATATGAAATTTTGCCTTTGTCTTTGAAAAAACATTTTAAATACATAGGTACTGTTAATAGAGACCTGTAAACCATGTAGAATGTAGTGTACTTATATACATTTTTTTTTATAAATTAAGAACGCCAGTAGGAAAGTTGTTTTAAAATGCCTTGGCGTTCGTTCTCTTTTTTTTTAAGTTTTTTTTTTGTATTAAGTTCAAACTGTGACCAAACAACATTAAAGTGTGTCAATTAAAAAGTTTACAGACGTTCGAAAGTTAAAAAAAAGGAAATCTATAAAATTTTAAGCTTCAACTTGTGGCGCAACAAATAGTTGAACAGGTGTGACGTAATGTATTATGAAAACACCGTCAGACTGGCGGTCGCTAAGAGGTCGATGACAGTCAGATGTTGTCTCAAAACAGGTGAGTCAATCGTGAAGGTGCTCAAAAATGGTGGGAATAAAAACTATATAACGTAGGGCAGGTTACTTTTTCTTCAACAAATTTGACACGCTAAAGATTGGGACACCATGACATCACAATTATTTCAACCACAGACTGTTTAAAAAAAAAGACGATCACCAAAAAAAAGTCTACGTGATGTTTTAAAAACAACAATACAATTGCGTAACAAAAATAATTTAAGACGTCATAACAACAGAAAGAAGAAAAAAAAAGAATCCTAAGAAAAAATCAAAACGATTAAAAAAAAAAACAAACGAAAATGGCAAAGGTAACCACTGTCGTAACTCTACTTACATTCATTAGAAAGAAGGAGTGTGCGGTTGAACCGTGACAATTTTATGACATAACTAGAGGTAATTCTTAGTGCCGTGACAGACGACCGTGGCGCGGATTAGCTGTGAAATCGTGTCAAGTGGATGTCTGAGGTGCAGTGTACATAGGAGGCTAATGAGAATATATTGTTATGTTGATTTTATGTATGAATGTAACGTGCAAGCTCTACTCTTCCTAAGAATTCCTGTAATTAGTTCTGGGCATTGATTCTGTAATACAATGTAACAAACTTTTGGGATTTCTTTTTTTGAAACTTTATTTGAATTAATATGATTATTTGCCACCTGCCACCAAGTGAAGTATTATACTTTGTTTGTACTTAATTACGTCTTACCATGTAGAATCTTTTTAAAACAAAACTTAATTTCTAGTGCATCTATTCAGACATTTCCCCACCACCCAAATAGTTGACTGGGATAAAATGCCTGTGGCATTAAGCCCGCTGTTGTACAGTTGAGTTGTAATTTGTGCATAAAAAAATTAAAGTAAATAAGTAAATTACATTTACAATAATTACAATGTGATGGTGAGATTGATCGAACTGTACAGCATCGAATCAATACGGGATGGATGAAGTGGCGGCAGGTAACGGGAACAACTTGTGACCCCAGTTTCCCCTTAACACTGAAGGGACAAATTTATAAAACTATTATCAGACCTGCCGTCCTGTATGGTTCTAAAAGTTGGCCCATTAAGAGAACGGATGAGAGACGCCTGGACGTAGTCGAAATGCGAATGCTGAGATGGATGTGTGGTGTGACTCACATGGACAAGGTTAGGAATGAGTATATACGAGGGAGTCTGAAAGTAGCGCCACTGGATGAAAAGTTAAGAAGTAAGAAGTAAGACATGTCATGCGGAGGGATGAGGAAAATGTGGCGAAGAAAGTTTTAGGTATGGGAGTTTAAGGGTACAAGATAAGAGGCAGACCGAAGAAAGGGTGGATGGACTGCGTGAGGGAGGATATGGCTAGGAAGGGAGTAAACAGTGAGATGAATGATGTGTGAGTGAGATGAAGTAAATTACCAACTAAAAACTTTTTTAGAAATTTTAAAATATTTTACAACTGTCATATTTGCTGTCAAAATCCAAACCTCTGTAGCAAAATTCTGAAATGTTTGGAAATGAGGATACAATAAAGAATACATAAATATTATTATTTTACATTTCTGTAAATTAATACATTTTTTTTACTGGAACTAGAGAATAGTTTATTCTATTTGGAGTTCCAGTATTAAAAGTATCAATCTAAAATTAAAGTAGGGATCATTTTCTCGATTTCATCTGCTTATATATGCTTATAGTTTTTAATATTTAAGTTGTAACTTTATACGTGTATTTACATTTTATTGTTGATTTGACTACAAATGTTATATATTTTTAATGGATTCATCACCACTAGTATGCCACGTTGGCCAGACGGTTTGATGGTTTGTGTCAAGTTTTCCTTCTTTTTGCAGTCTCTTTAATGGATTAGCGAGAGATAAAAATGCGTCCAGAAACAGCACAAAATAACGAAAAAAGATTTATCAGAAAGAAACATAGAATTAGTTTTGGAAAATTTGTCTAAAAAATTTTTCATTGGATTAAATGTTATTCTTATTTTTTTTTATGAAAGAGGGAACAAACAAGATGAACATTCTTTTTCTCTGTTATATAATATATAGCATATGTTTCTGTACAGCGTAATTTAAATTTTTTTGTGGTAAAGTTTTACTGAATATTATTAACATGCAAAATAATTATGTGTACTTTTCAAGTATGTGTACCTTTCAAGTGTTATTTATGCTAATAAAAACAATCTCTTAATTTCATCACACATCACATTGTTTTTATAAAATATTTTTTCATTGGAAATACATACGAGTTTCTAAACCTGTTTCTAAAGCCTAATTAAATAGATTTGAAACCACACTGGCTAATAACGCCAGTGTGGTTTCAAATAGACAGTAAAATGAAACAAGAATAAACAGATACTGTAGAAGATGGCTTCTTATAATATTATTGGATAGAAATCAAAATATCAAACAATACTTTTCTCATAATGCAATGCATAACAGTGTGTCTTTGGAATTTTGATAGTCTATTTACTAACAATGAGAGTCGGTACTTAGGCCGTTTTTTTGTAGTTGCAATCCTCGTGACGAAATGACAGTTTTTGATTTCATACTTTCTTTAGGTTCGATGTTCAAAAGCTAGACCAAATTAGGGAAATCGAACTTAAATAAATAATTTATTTATTGCCCAGGGCATTCTCTACTCTCTACTCTTCAGCAAACCTTTGTGAAGTTATTTTAGTGTATAGAGAGCGAGCTTTATAATAGATGCTTGTATACGATGAGTTTCATCAGACATCTCAGTTATCATCCGCCAGGAAAGCGAGAGGAAACAAAATAAAGCCATATTGAGTTTGGGAAACGTTTCAAAAATCTTATACCAACTCCTGCAATGAACACCACACCTTATTAAGCACTTAATCAAGTCATTTAATAAGAGCAATTGGCCTTTTGTCTGACACATAATTGTTCGCAATCAAATCCAAAAGGAAGAGGGTGACGAAGCCCAATTGTACCACAATTGTGATGGACGTGGCATTGGTAATTATACTTTTTTTGCTGATTAAGAACAATCTTATGATTTTTTGTCGTGCTAAAAATAAACTCAATAGTTTTGAATGATATACTGGTTAAAAGCTTTCGCTTTTTTTGAAGTAAAACTTCTTTACGCACGCTTGACTTGGGGAGTAAGCTGGTGAATGCGTGACGAGAGCGTTACGAAAACTGTGATCGGGCGAGGCGGACGGAAGTTGAGAGGGAGATATAAGTTAGTGAAGATAGAAAGAGAGAGAGAGAGAATTACGTTTCGTATATTACTGTAGGGGCAAGAGAGAGGTGCGAGCACACATTTTCTTTCTCTCTTTTTCTCATAGCCAAGAAGTTTTACTTCAGTCGTGTGGTGCACACTTGTTTTAAAGTACTAC